ATGAGGGATGGTTAAGGAACTTATTATTAAAGTAATGGAGTAATAATTGAAGGATTATGGAAAGATAATAGATTTATAGGTTGTAGCATTAATAATTCATATAGATAAAAGAAGGAATAATAATTAACAGACTAAAATTAGAAGAATCATATATTTGCACTAAATAATTGGTAAAATTAGAAATTTAACTTACATTTGAAATAAAGATCTAAATTAAATTAATATAGTAGGGCTACTTCAACAAATTAATAAAGATCATCTGGTTTATCAAGAAGCAAAATGAATCCTAAATCACCATCAGATGATTTATAAGATGTTTCTATAGATGAGGCAGAAAGGACAATAAAGAAGAAGAAAAATTATAAATCTTAATAAACAAATTATTTATTGATAAATAATAACAAAAAATCAATAAAAAATGTATTTGTATTTTGATTAATATATATATTTAGGATTGACTAAATTTATTTAATAACATTATAATTAATCTTTCATTTTTTCAAACCAGGTGAATTTGAGGATTAACTAAAGAATTTATCTATATATTAAATTACTTCATTAATTTTGCTTTATTCAATGTTTAAGCCTAATCTTAATCACCTTTTTCTGCCTTATTTTTATCAGCTATATATTTATATATTTAATATTCTACCTTCACTCATAGGTCCTAATTGTAAATCCTTCAATCTTTTTTCTATGTTGACTTCAGCTGCAATTTATTTAACTTGATTCCATATAGGAGAATCTTTTCCTAAACTAATTAACCAATTTTGTTTTTGCTTTAATAATATAAATATTAATAAATTACTAATAAGAAGATTTGCTATGGTCCTAAAATACTTCCTGGTCTACATATACGAATCCAACCTATAAAATCTGGAGCAGGAAATCTATTGTATATTCTATTATTACCTATAATGTTTCATCACATATGCTGCAATCAATGTTCCTGTTCTACCTAAACCTGCTTTACAATGTACAGCCACTACATTCTCTTTTTCAGCTATTTCAAGGAATCTTAAAATCTTATCATCTCCTGGAACTGAACCATCTAAAAAGTAGATTTCTTCATGTTTTATGCCATTTTTTATAAATCTTTATTCTTCATAAGCTTTCTTATTCAATCTGACAACACAAGTCACTCCAAATTATTTGAAGATTGGTACATATTCTTCAGGAGTGAATGTTCGATTCTAAATAGAAATAGACTACTTACTCCATCAGCATCTTTTGATGTAGCAGATGGTCCTGAGAAAGCTATAAATTTATTAGGTACAATCCAATTTAAATCTCCATTTTCTACTCTTTCATAAAATTCATAATCTCTAAGATTGAATTTTCTAACATCAAACCATTTCAACTTTATTGCATATTCTAAGCCTCTTAAACAATGTAAAATCTATATAAATAGTCAAACAAATATACTGTGCATTTGTAAGTACATTATCCATAACTTGCATCTCTGAAATCTTAAAATGCGGGCTTTACAGATTGGAATGGTTTCCATGCATCATCTGCACTCATTTTTAAGATGATCACTTAAAAGGCTCCCATCAAATAGGCAGCATTGGCTCTTTTGGCACTATCTAAACTTGTATAGTGATATATGGCATATTGTTAATATGTCTTATCACCAAGTAATTTCTCCAATTCTGTCACAAATCTGTAAGTGTGACCTAAATTTAATGGACCAAAATCTGCAAAAAAGGGCTCATATACAAGATCCTAAAAACAAATTAGATTCTATCTAATACCTGATCAATGCAAAAATAGAATGCATTTGGCTAATTTCTTGGTGCTTATCGATCAGAAATCCAATATAATTTATCTAAGAATACAATAGATATGTTACCTTTAATGATCTCAACCGATCCTGGAATCGGAGATTGATTTTGATTAGGTTACATAAATATAATATAATTTCAATATTTTTATGATTATTGTAATTATAAACTCATCTTTTAAATAGACTCCATCCTTATTTCATTAACTATTATATACACCTCATTAGTAATATTCAAACTTAATTCGTCAAACAACATCAATATAGTGTCAGCTATTCTAAATAATCTTTTGTTTTATAAACCTATGAACTTCACGAATAGTAAAATCTTTAGAATGAGCCCAATTATTTCTATAATGCTTCACCTCGAATAGTAGATTCCTCAAAAATTTAGAATTGCTATGAGTTTATTCTTTATATCACCATAGAATCTATAAATACCCTAAATAAAGTCATAATTGCTAATATAGAAGTTTATTGCACCCATCAAATCTTTATTAATTTAAATGGTGTTTTCTGGAGAAACCTCATCATGTTGAATAGCTTGTTCCAAAAATGCCCTTAAAACTTCATAGCAATTATCTAGTAGTTAACCTACAATTTATCTCATTGAATGAGTTTGTAAGACACTTTTCATCATTTTAATTAAAATTCTGTATAATTAAATAAGGATTAATCAAAAAATATAATAATTCCCATTAATATTAACATAAATCATTTTTAATCAAATATCATACAAAATATATAGGATTCACATAAATTTCAAGTTTTATTCACAAAATCTTTATTTAAAAAGCCAACTAATATTAATTGAGAATCTTTATTGAAACAAAAATACATTAATATTTTTATCAATGATTAGATTTCTAATCTTTTATAATTAAGATTTGTGAAATTTAAATCAATTACCCTAAGAATTATGATTTAATTATTATCAATGAATTAAAGGAATAAATATAATAATATTTATCAAATATTATTAATATGTAGAATTACTTAAATATAATTAAATAAAATAGGTTTGTCTAATGAATTATATAAAAAGAGATTAATGAATTTTATATGAAATAATATAATTTATATATATTATTTAGATAAATCTAATTAATTTTTCTCTGTAAATAATAAAAAATGGACATCACAGATAAATTTTTTTAAATAGCTGGAACATCATCATTAAAATAGAGCATTTATGAAAATGAGTCTGATTATTTTAATAGTTATACTTCATAGATAGTAAGCAAATTAAACTAATTTTAGTATAGTATGGTCATTACAATAATCTAATTTATGGATATATAAAAGGATAAATATATTGCAAAATCAAATCTATATGGACATCCTTTTTCTGAAAAAGAGAGAGATGATTTTGATCATGAAGTTCAAACTAAAATTAGTTTATGTTCAGAAAAAATAAAGGGTATTTAAGAGATGCTTAAATTGACAAAAACAAAAACAGAATATGCTCATAAAGAAATAGTATTAGGGTGTCTAATTTGTGAATTAAATAAGGGTATTCTTTTGTTTAAAGAATTTAAATTATTTCGACAAAGACAAAAGGAAAGAATCTCTTAGTTGACAAAATTAAGTAAAGTGAATTCAAAGATTGAAGATAAAAGATCATAAGGATAATCAAAAGTTTCAGTTGAATAAGAAAATGATCCTCTTTATTTGGAGAATTAACAATTATTAAAGAAATATGATAATGAAATGAAAGATATTCTGAGTATTCAATAATAAATCAGAGATATTTCATCTTCTTTATAGAGAATGCAAGAGATTATTGCTCATTAAGAGAAATTAACAGAAGAAATATTGATTTAAGCTAATGAAAGTTTATCAAACATTGAAAAAGCTAATAAACATTTAATAAGTGCAACAAAAATGAATGAATAATTCGGAAAAAGATGGGGATTACTCTTTTGCTCAATGGGAATTATATTGTTATTTTATGATTATATAAATGCTTGATATAAAATTGGATATATATCAATGTTTGGTTTCTTAAGGTTTAGGAGCACTACTACTTCCACCTCCAGTAGTTTACAATCCTACTGCAGTTTTGAAACTGTCATAAATCCACCATTATAAACCAGTGAGTGTACCAATCATAATAATTCTAGTGCCTAATCCTCTCCATAATCCTGAGAATCCAATTTCTTTATAAATTTTACCAACGTTTTCACCCAAAGATCCTAAAAATAATAAAATATATTTACCTCCTGTTTAGATTGAGTTTAATTTTGATACAATTGTATCAGCAGGGTGTGAAACAACAGCACAAAAGATACCAGCCAAATATCCTGATGCAAATGTTACTGACAATTAAGTGAATTTAGAATATGAATCCTTTGGTTTTGTGAATACATTTTCATAGAATAATGCAACAATTTATTCAAAAGCAACAAACTTGACTATTGTGTATGGAACTTGTCTAGCCCAAAGTGGTCCTAAACCTTTATAAAGTCCATTAATGCCTTAAAATTATTTATGAATTATTATTACCTTCATTAGATTTAACTTAATTAAATGCTTGAGATCCACTTGTTGTGAATGTACCTGGTTTAGAGGTTTACATTCTGACCTTGATTGCTTCCATTGGGCATAAGAGAGTATCAGCAATGATTTCAGCACTTCCTGAAGCAATAGACCAACCGATTCTTCTATATTTATTGGCATTTTCTTCTCCAACAACCGATTTATAAACATCTTTGAAGATTTCATAGAATCCAAATTTGCCTAATCCTTGAAGTGAGTAACCAATCAAAGTTGGTCCCCAAGCCAATGCAAGTCCACCAAATCCTTCAGTTTTATAAATTGTGCTTAATCCATCACCCAAAGATTTGTACAAAGTTGGGAAAACCTAGACAAAGATTATCATACTATTGTACTTATCTTCTACACTTGACAACATCCAATGGAACAATTGCAGTGTGTGTAAGACCACAGGCTAAGGTGCCACCAATCATACATTTAACATAATAACTCAAATCGTGTTTATCTCCACCCATTAAAAATATAAAATATCTTTAATTCAATAAAAAAGAGATTCATTTTTCTTAAATATCACAAATCCATTTTGTATTTTTATGAAAGAGTATATTTATATGCTTATTTTTTATATATTTGCCAAATTTGTATACATATAAATTAGAATATAAATATTTGTGTAATTTACAATCTTGATTTAATCATAATATTCTCAATTAACTTCTAATCATTTAAAAGTTGATTATTTTGTAATTTCATGTAAGGAGCCACGTTTAATAGTTGAACTTGTAAATGTTTTTGATCTAAACAAAGATATTTTAGCATCATCATGTTTCTTTTTAGAAGGTATCATTTAAGTAGTATTAATCATTTAACATCGAATAGGATAAAGTTCTTCATCAGGTTCTATATATAAAATAATTATGTATACCATATTCTTGATAGCTTTATTATGTGATTGTAACTCGATGATCAAGAATTTAAGAGGAGGTCATATGAAATTCTTATTCCTCCATTATGGTTGTAAGAAAGGCTTTGGACATAAGTTATTTAGGTTCAATTTTAAGATTTTGTTTAATATTCACAAACCATTGATGAATCAAAGCTACTTCTACAGTTATTCCAGGAGAAAGTAATTGATTTAATAAATTAAGCTAACTGACTCTATATAAAAATCTATATTGAGTTCTTTAAGAATTAGGTTATGACCATTGATCCATTAACGATTATATTAAATTTAGATTAATATCTTAAGGAATTTCACCTCTTTAAGTATAAAATGTGATTTAGTATAGTAGTTTACCTACATTATAAATATCTTTTTCTATATTTTTGATATTATGTTCCTTATATTTTGGAAAAAGTGAAGCAATTTGCAGAGTTGGACTATTAATATTGACATAGATATTCTAAAGATTGATGTTCCCATGATATATGGTTTTGGCTTGAAATTTTTGAATTGTTTGTAGGATCATGAATATAATGGATACTATGGGTACTTCTTTAAATTCAAAACCATTTAATAAGAGTGATTCCAAGGATTATAATTTCATGTTTTCTCCAAGTATATAATACCTTTGAGCATCTTCACAAACTCTAATAACATTAGGAATTTATTAAAAAGCATGCATAATAGTTAATTAATTGTGGAACATTTGAAGTTCTTCATTTTCTTCTAATTATTTCTTTTCAAATTTGATTGTAGAGAAATATTGATTATTTTTCTATTTTTTATGTATATATATTTTAATACTTTATATGATTAGGAAAGAGGTAGACAGTTTTTCTGTTCTTATAGTCTATATTTTCCACTATAATTTTTGTTAACACAAAATTTTTTAAGGTAGATCTTGATTCTGAGACACTATTAAGAATTAGAAGTGATTAGATATTCTTTACCAGCAGTACTCTTAATAATTATGACATTGATTCCTTCATTATTTTTAGGTTTACTCACTCTCTCTTCAAATTGACATTTACTCAATTCTATATATTAATTATCTATAATCAAAGCATTAAAAGATATAATCATCTCTTTTTAGATGAATTCCTTTGTTTTTTAGACATAGATTATGACTTATTCTTTCAATAATTCTTTGATACACAATTTTTCTGCCAATGTTCCTTCCAATTTTTAGAATAAACACTTCTAATCGTGCATTTTCAATTCATCTATCAACTAAGAATAGTGTTATTAAATTTGCATAATATTAAATTAATTGATATTTCCACTTTTCAATTTAATCACAAAAAAGAAACGAATATTTTGATAATCATATCATCATAATTATATTTAGTAATAATCATTAAAATTCTCTATTCTGTATACTTTTAAATTTTTCAATCACTTCTTGAATATTGTGTTATGGAAAATAGTGCATCAAATTTATTGGGCACTCGAATTCCATCTTCTATATCTCCATTTATTCAAATTATTTTTATGTTTCTACTGTAGCCTTTGAAGAAGCCTTCTTTTAAGGAGAAGAATATCTTTTGCTACTCATAGAATATTAATTAACAAAACTGTCTTCATTGAGAGTGTTGATGTCGCTTACTGAAGGAATAGCCTATAAGGGAGCATTAGGAGGAGTTATCTTAATTGATGTTGTCCCTTGTTTTCCAATCTATTATTTCTTTATTCGTGGTTATGCTGCAAAAATTGAATCATCAACAATCTTATCTTCCATATTCATTGTTATTGGTAAATCTTTAAAACTATTCGAACTTGATTGATGTTATTTATTTTAAGAATTACTTGAAATTTTATCACTATCCTATTATTTTGAAATCTTCCTTTATCCTTAGACATCTTTAAACATTGAAAATGTACTAAATGACAAACCTGATCCTTAAGGTTTTTGAATTGCACTTAAACTATGGCCAGAGTTTGATTTTTGTAAGGCTTTAGAATTTTCATCAGAATTCAATGATTTTGATTTTTTTCTAGGATTATTATTTTAAATTTATTATGGTACAATTGAGAATTCTTTAATTGTTTCATCTTAAATTAAAATTTCTTAAAACATGGATGCAGCATCTTCAAATAACCTCTAAGAAAATACTGCATTTGTACTTCTATCTCTCTTTCTTTTAAATTTCATTCTGCCCATATCTTCTGATGTCAAATGATTAGATAATACACTTAATTTATTTATAAATAAATGTATTTTAGGACATTCATCTAAACCATGCTTCAAATCTTAACATATATAACATTGATTTCCAATATCCAATTAATTCATCTCCATTTACATTCTATACATTTACTACATAATAACATTTCACTTTTACATAATCAACTGGATATTTTCTCATCACTTTCAAAAAAGAGTATCTACTTAAATAAATGAATTAAGTTTTATTTATTGACACAGCTTAACAAACATCCTACTTATCATAGAATAAAGAATTTAATCCATAAAAAAGATTATTTTATTTTTTACTTGAAATTCTAACACTGTTAGGTAAAAATAATTCAAAACTACCTTTGGAACAATAGTATAATCCAGTTTAATCAAGAATTTCATTATGTGAAAATGTGTACTCTTTAAATTGTAATATTATTTCTCTATAACATTCATATGAGATTTATGAGAAGAATGGAATTTATTATAGTATTTTTGAAAACATTTCTATTTTAAGATCTTCATTTAAATATTATGGTAATAATTGTAAAATCTATTATTCTTATTCATGATTACTCAAATACTTCTCCTACCATTTATTATATAAAATTGTCTTTATTTCTTATTGTAATTTTTAACTTATTTTCTTTTCATTTAAATAATTATTTATTACATCTATATTTTCTGAAAACTATCCTAATTTCAAAAACATTTGCTATTTGTTTACTGCAACAAAAATTATAAAAACTATATTGCAAATCTAAATTAAAATAGTAATTAAAACTAAAGATTCATTTTTTAATTAAATTAAGTTTTATCCTACAGTTGTTATTGTAGTAATTGACCAAAATAAGGAATAAAAATAACTAATACTCCAATCTTTATATTCATTAAGATCTTCAATCCATGGATCTGCTTCATTATTTGATATTATAAAAAATAATAAAGCAGAAACATGGATAAAAAGGATATAAATAATTACAATCTCTAAAATGGAGATATTTTTAATATATAAAAAATATTTCTATTTTACTATTTTGTATTTCTTTATTGAAAAATACAAATGAAAAAATAATCCAATGCACAAGTATTAGAACTCTATCAAATTATTCACAATGATTAATAAAAATATTAATACATGAAATACTGATTCATATATATTATTCAATTAGGTTTGCTCTTTAAATTATAATATTGATTCCAAAACCATTATAAAATATTGAATGACATAAAATGAAATATTAAAAATTTACTTGCTCCCAAAAGTAATAGTGATTGTACATTCAAAAATAAATAAGAATCCTATTACAAAATAAATTATATCATAGAAGCTTGAAAATTATTAGAATATATTTCTTAGCTTTTTATATATCAGTTATTAATCCAAAGGTGAGTAATTAAAACATAAATCATTTAAAATCATCTAATATCTTAATTAAAATTCATTTAAATTTATATTAGGATTCTCTTCCTCATTCACTAATTTCAGTAGTATTGAATTATATGTCTTTTAAGGAGAATTTGGAAATTAAAAATATGACTAATTTTCATTCTTTTATTAAAGCAATGCCTATTAAGGTGATTCTAAATTTAAAGTATTATCTTTAGATGTTAATTTCTCTTTATTATTTTGCTGATCATAATTTAGATAATCTAAAATATTTTCTTCATTAGGTCTTCTTACTTTGAGAAATTAATTGTTCATCATTACAATCACTTCATTAATATCATCTTTCCTGTCTTCTGATGAATTAATATCTATAGAACTTGAATTTTATACATTCATAACAATAAAATTTTATAATTGATAAAATTCAATTTTATTATATACTTCCATATAAACACATGTAACATCATATTACTATAAAATGTTTCCATCATTAAATTCCATTAGAATACTAACCCAAGTATATTAAAACTAATAAATATTATATTTTATATCGATAATTATCTACAATGAACTAAAATACAGAAAATTTCTTCTAACATATGTATTCCAAAGCAGGAAAATCAAGCTCATAAATATTTGCTCATTTATTGGGTAAAGCTAGCAAATATTAATCAATATAAAAACAAAGTGATGTTTAATCTATTGTAATAACACCATGTCAATCACCTAAAAAACCCTAAAAATAATAACCTTTTAGTTTAGGTTTGTCTAGAGAATATATGCAAAAATTATAAAATTAAGGAAAACCTAATATGCCTATTGGAGTTTACAATCCAAAATATTCTGTGATTTAAAAGTAAAGAATATAACTATTAAGAAAGTCTGATTTAGGTGGTAAATTTGCTGTTGAACATAAAATTATGATAAAATAAGGCAATGAATCTTAAACATCAATTGATTCAAGCAATACTTAAAGTAGAAGAACAAAAGGATTTGTAGATCTAAAGAGACAACTGTCAAGAGAACAATCGAATAGATATTAAAATGCTTCTTCAAATGCCACTTTGAATTAGTTTTTATCAATTGATACTAATTCAATTAGAGCGTATTATGTTTATTATAATATCATTTTAGAAGACCTAGAAGTGCTCATTTTAAAGGTTCTGGACATTCTTTAAATATTAACAAATATAATTGTTTTTAATCATTTTATGATGCTGATTACGAGGCTGGTAAAAGAAAAATAAGTTTTGTTGGTCCTGGATTTGAAAAATAAACAGTTAGGAAATCTCTAATGAATAAATCTGTTTGTTTAAGAGAGTAATCAATTTATCAATATGATCAATTTTCAAATAAAAATTCAATTGTACATCCAAATACTAAAAATGTTATGATTGATTTTAAGAAAATATTAGGAAGGACACATAAAAATGAATAATGCATACCTAGTCATATGTCTAAGACAAATAGAAGTAGAATTATGATTGAAACACTTAATTAAAAAATGCTAGAACTTAATGCATCAGCTCAATGATGGATTAAACGAATGTTTAATTATAAAAGAAATAAGAGATCATTTAAACATTTTTTATTTATAAATTAAAATTATGACTCATACAAATAATATAGCATTGTAAACTTCGTATGATCATTTTCTCAATATTGATTTGGATGAAATGTTACCTGAAACTCCTTTAGGACCATGGTTTATTTAAAAAAAGAAGGAACCTAAACATCTCAAAGAAAGTCCATCAAAAGAAAAAAAATAATTTATTATTAAAAAACAACATCATAAACATATGTTGACTGAACCAGTCAAATATTAAGATTAAACTGAAGAAATCTCATAATTCAAACAAACTTCAGTAGAAGAAATAATCAAATAACATTTTACAACCTAAAATCTCAAAATTAATAAGAGTTAATAGATTATAAGATCAAAGTTATCTACTAATTTAATATAAAATACTGCAAAATAGTAATTAATTAAAAAAAAAGAAGAAAGAGTATCTTCTGTCATACTTTTAACGCGTAAAAAGAATATGGATTTTTAATTAGATAAGTTTTTAAAACTATACAATATATATAAAATACCATTATTGAATAAGTGTAATATTACTGGTAATGTATGCAAGCTGCAATCCAAAAAATTATGAATATATCTAACATATATGCTATATCATATATATTGGATAATCTGTTATATTTTTATTATTAATGTCCTTAACATTATTTTAAATAAATAATAATTTTACAATAAGTATAAAAATATTCAATCTTAGAATTATTCTGAATTTTAATTGTCTAATACTTCTTAATTCTGTTATTCAAAATCTATAGTTTATATATTTTGATGATTTTGAGGAGATTTATTAGAACCTTCATCTTATTACTCTTCATTTACTTATGAATTCTCCATTAAGTTATCAATTTCATTCTATTATTATTATTATTATTATTATTATTATTATTATTATTATTATTATTATTATTATTCTTCAATTTTTTCATTATTCTAATTTTCTTCTTATTCCCTGCTTTACTGATCATTAGATTCCACATTTACTTGATCTTCTTGCATTGTTGGTTTATCTTGATATTTTTGATCATTTACAACTTCTTTGTCTTCTTTCTTTTACTCTAATTCTTATTACTAAGGTTTTTCAATGATTTCATTAACAATCTTACTAACCTTATCTTGATAGGGTTCATAAGGTTGAAAATCAGATTCAAAGAGACTTCTAAAATATTATTATAGATTATATTACCTTTATTGATTTTCTTAATTTATTAAGATTTATCTAGACTCTGTATTATTCTCTTGCCTAGCTCTTGATCTGAATAGATTAATAATACTTGATACTTAGTTTATTGGCTTTTGATTTCTAAGGGATCTAATTTCTTATTGTTAAAATTATCTCTTTCTAATAATATAACTTCTGAATTATTACTTTATAATTAAGACTCGCTAATTCTTGAGTTGGTCCAATATTACACTAAAGTTTTTGTAGGTTTGAAATCCTTATACGGATATTCGCAAATATTAGAAATATATTTTTCAACCCATCTTCTCTCTTGATTCCAATCTTTAACATTGTATTGAGATTTCTAATCTTAAATTCTTTTTAAGAGTTATTGATTCTCCATAACAATCTTAATCAATTCTTTTTTTCTGTATTCTTTATTGAGAGATTTCTTTGGACCAAGACTCACAGTAGTGGATTTCTTAATTGCTAAAGTAGAGATTGAGTTATCTTAATTATGATAATATTATTACTTGATTATTATTACATAATATTAGTTAATTTGGATATAAGATTTTAATTTTCTCTGTCTATTTCTTATTACTTTTATGATTTGATGGCTTCCTTAATCTTTTTATTTTTTAGAAAATCATATTGTTTTGGTGCACTAGTGTTGATTTAGGGTCTCATAGTCAATAAATGACTATTTAGAATGACTTAGTTCTAGAATATTTCTTTTGTTGCACAAATTTTATTCCCAATTGGTATGTTTCGATTCATTTAATAATAATTATATTATTCTAATAAGTTTTTAGTAAATAAATCATAAAATCTCAAATATGTAACTTAGAATAAAGAATACAAAATAATTTACAATAATAATACCTCAAATATGGTTACAATAATGAAAAAGTATAAAAAAATGTTGAAAAAACCTATTTTTATTAAAAAATTTTTCTATTTAATTTTATTAGTTTATTTTAAACAGCTGCATAATAATTACAATAATTTAAACGAATATTATTTTAATATGTACAAATAATTATATTTATATATCAAAATAATCACTTAAACAAATTATACGTTGTTTGATTAATTTTAGATTAAAATAGAAAGACAAATAATTAATAAATTTCATTTATCAAAATAGACTCTGAATATTCTAAGAATATCAAAGATGTGATAATATTTTAAGAAAGATTTCTATCAATTTATTTAGAAAAATTAATATAAAAATCTATTGTTTCCGATAACAAAAATTAATTTAAGATTTAATGATAAATAGTTCAATGCTCATATTTGATTTTATTATAATGTTTTAGTATTTAATTATTAATAATTATATGATCAGAAAATATACATTAACATTTAATTCATCTGAGCTTGAAAAATCATTTAAGCTATGGGTTATTGATCAAAATCAAAAAATGTACGAAATTACTTTGTCCATATTCTCAATATATTTGATACTCAACCTTATAAATTACACTGAGAACATTATATACTTTATTACTACATCAGTGACTCTCTGCATTGAATTAACCATGCTTTTCTTTTTTCGAAGATATCCTATGTAAAGAGAGTCCATAAAGAGCTTAAATTTGATTGTCATAAGTATATTACTAGATATATACATATGGCTAATGCATGGATAAAATTTATATTTAGAAGTTGGAGCTGCTAAATTATGTATAATTTTTATATTATCAAAAAGGTCTCTATCTATAAGGTAATATATTTATTACACAATCAGTAATATTTATGATTAGTCAGGCTGCTGAAATGTCAATTCTTCAATAATAGGTGATTCCAATTATTACATATAGTATATTTTGTATTTACTTTATCTTCCTGCGATATCAAATAGAAATGAAACGACGCTAACATTATTTAGCTTATAGATCATAAATCCTATATGAGAATTTGATAGAAGAATAATTGCCAGCATGGGTATTGCTGGTTAAATATGATAATAAATAGGCTCAGTTAAAAATGGACAAAATAAATAGGGTTATGAAAGACACTTTTAATTTGAATTCTGATTAGAAGTTTAGAGAATTTTTAAGAGATTCTAATATTTAACCATTAGAAGGTATTAATCACAAAGCATTTAATTTTGAAGATGAACTCATTAAAGATTTACTCTAAAAATAACAAAACGACAAAATTACCAAATTTGTTGGAAGATTTGTAGGTAATAATAAAAAATGTCAATTTCAAATCACTAAAATCTATTTTAATACTCTAGAACCAACAATATTGTTATTATTCATAGAAGAAGATGATGATTTGTATGATTTTTTTACTCATTAATTAAAATGGAGAGATTAATAATTAGTTAATCATAGTAAAATTTGTTTAAAGTATATCAAAGATTAAATTAATTTACTAAAATTCCTCAAATAATAAGTAAATGGTTAATAGCTTTATCATATTTATAATTAAATTAGTAATAGTTATATAATCTTCAATTAAAGTTTGAACATTTTTAATATCACTAAAATTATTTACAACAAATTAAAATATAATATCAACTAATTCAATTTATTAGATTTAATTAATTAATTAAAAGATGATTTAAAATTCTCAAACAAATAGTTATTATTTGATTTGGAATTGAAGACAGATAGATCTAAAATGATTTCAGTTATTCTAAGTGTTTCTGAATTTATTAGATTAATGCTTGCAATTAATACAAATGATGAAAAATAACTCTATGAAATTCATCCATTAGGTTTTCCAATTTAAATTAAATTTAAAAGAGTTTACACTCATCCAGGATGTCTATTAATAATAATGAAACATTAATTATTAAATATACCTCTTTCAATTCAAGAATCTTTTTAAAAAGAGGCTTCTTTTACTGATCATAAAAAAAGAAACTGGGGTGTAAATCATTATTACGAAAATATATAAAATTTAAGTGATTAATTTCATAAAATCAATATTAGTACTCATAATTTAACAACAAGCCAAAAACCTTATTTGGAACTTGATCTAAATATGTAAGAATAACAATAGAAAATTGGAGTCAATTTGGATGGAAGTACTGAACCTTTCAGTACATTAGGGCTTCCTTTGGCTTAATATTTAATCTCTTAGATTGGTCCCAATAATCAAATCTAATTTAAAGATAAATCATTGAAACATATTCCTGATCCAATCTCTTTCAGAAATGCTACATCAAAAACAAAAATTTAGTTTGAAATATACGAGGATTTAAATTAATTTATATTCCAATTAAACTAATAAGATCCAAATCCTTATTTAGACTTTTTCATTTCTAGTAGCAGTTAGAAAGCTGGTATTAAGACTTACTGTAGTGTGTCTCCCCAATATCATAGAAGGAGTGGAATGACACCATAATTAATGGGTGGTAAACTTAATTGATTTAATTATATCTTATTGCTTTATATGAAAATAAAAAAAAAATTATTGTATGATCTTAATTCAATAATAAGGATTTTATTATTTGTAATATATTAAATAAGATTAAATATTGAGATAAAACTAAAATTTATCATTAATTTAAACATAATGTTAAATGATGTATTTTTATACTAAATTTTATTGTAAATTATTTTAATACTAAAAATTTAGTTATTGAATTAAAAGTCTAGTATTTTTGTTTTTTCATTATATGAATGATACTAAATCATCATGCTGTAAAACAACCCTTATGAAGGCAATCTATTATTTAGATTAGTTCTTTGGGTCATATGAATATTCTATTATGTAGTTCTATTACTTTCATAATGAATCCATCCTATAGATTTTTAAATACCCTAACTTTGCAGTTCCATCTCACTTTATAATTTTTCTTGATTATATTGTTTGAATTTAACATCAATATTTAATTTTGAAATATATTTTTTATAATATGACTTGTGGATATTCATAGAATTCATTCCAATATTTATTAAAATATTATTAAATGAAATCAAGATAATAAGGTATGTATAATAGTGAATTAATTATAATTAAAGGTGGATATTTTTTATTTTATATACTATTTTTATTAAATCATCTTCTTATAGCTAATAAGGCTAACGACATTACTGAAGAAAGCCCAAAAAATAATGAATATGCTTGATGTGTCTATGGAGTAGGCAAAGGTTTATCAAAGTTATCTTTTGTGGCAGGAATTGGATATAAGTTAGCTGATTCTTCATCATATTCTTGCACCAATCTTTCAATATATGCAGATGAACAATCTGTCTACAATATTAGCTTTCATCATCATACCAAATTGAATGATCTGTATAATTTTGACATGAACCACAAATCAATATAATTATACACTCCCTCTCTTGGCCAATTTCTACGTCCTTTCAAAATATCTTCTTCTTCTCCTCTTCTTACCATTCCTACAAATTCTACAAAAGGCATTTAATAATCTTCTTCCATATTTAACACATTTCTATTGAATCCTGTCAATTAATCGTCATCTTCATTATGAGGAACATTTTCATATGTCTAATTAATATTTATATTGAATTACTGTTGTTCCAATAGGCTCTTGTCCCATTTGAATATCGCTTATGTTATCTTTTGGCACCCATCCTAAATTTACCATGACTTATGATTTGGTAGTTTATTCAGGATCTTATTCTGTGTCATTGAATTATAAAGCTGTTACAAATGGGGCAAAAACTAAGAAACCATCTCTTCCTTCTCTTTCTCTTCTAACGAAAAATCTCTCATCCTATAAAAATGATAAGAATTGAATTAAGTACTCTGAAATATCCATATAATTTGACTAATTTATACTCCCATTATCTAATATTACGGGCCCATGGATATCTATTAGCATTGAGACCATTAATTGTTATGGGTTTCCATTCAGTAATCTCAGTTTCTACTTTCTCATATAATTATTTTTGTTAAGCACCCTTCCATTGATGCCAAGCACAACCGTATGCTCCTCCAAAGAAAACTCCATATGCCAATAACTTAATGATTCCATTACTTTGTCTTTAGGCGAATGAATTGAAAACTTATGTTGAAAGCATAAAAGATTGAAAATATTAATATAAAAAAATCAATAATTAAAGTAAATATAATTATTAAATAAAACAATATAATTTTATTAATCTTTATCATTATCTATTGATTAGATTGTAAATAAAGAATAGGATTGATTAAAATAAATCAAATTAAAAAATAATACTTAAAATTAATTGAATTGATAAATCAAACAACTGTTTTTTCTAAATCATAAATGTCTTACTATTTAATAGTTTTCAAAATTGTTTTGTTTTGTAAAAGTTCAGGTATACTCATTTTTTCTCCCCTTTCTGGTTTGATTTTGTCTTACATTTATTTTTATAATATTTTTTTATGTTCAATTTTGACTTTTTTAATTGAATCTAATTTATCTTATTCTTCTTAAAAGAATCTTTATGTATCTTCCTTCCATATTTATCCTTAAAGATTATCTAATTCTTTTTCTTATAAATTCTTTATTTATTTAAGTTTAATAGATTATTCCAATGATTAAATTGTCTTTTATTTAAGTTCATTTACTCTATTTTTCTTCTTCTACTCTTCTTCTAAAAATTTCTATTCCTCTATTTATTTCCAATATTAAAGTTTATCATCATCCTCCTTTTCTAATTTATATCTTAATAATTATGATTCACTCCAAGCATTATTTTTATCAACCTTCTCTTTCTTTTTTCTGTTTTCTTCTATTCTTCTCTATTCAATTTAATCAAGTAATTCTCCATATCTATTTATAATATATATATATATAAAATACTTCTCACAATTTGCTTATTCTAATTTCTCTTATTCTTTTTATTTTTACATAATTACCATTTTATCTGCCTCTGATTATTTCATTACTTTAAACATATATTCTCTCTTCATTTATTTTATTCTATTTTCTTCATCAATCTATTTTTATAATTCATCTTGATATCTTTTGCTGATCTCTTTTTTATAATTTTACAATTCTTTATCTTCAGTATGTTATTTCTTTTTTTTGTGATTCATTTACACATCTCTATCTGATTATAAATGAAATAATTTATTTTTTGCAGAAGTCTATTTTTCTAATTCTTATTCATTTTTCTTTTGTAATAATTCGCTTTGAAATTTATTATATTTTTCTTCTAAATCCTTTTCTTTTTACTTTCTCTCTTATTTTATTCTCAATTGCATATCTAATTCCTTTTTCATTTAAGCTTTCTTTTATTAAATTAATTCCTTTTTTCTCTCCTATTCTTTTTAGTACAGTTACGCATCAAATTTCATAAGAGCAGCCCATTCATCCTCCTTTAATTAAGTATGAATGTTACATCTTATCGATCTACATAGTAAACTGATTTAGGTGGTTTTTCAGAAGTTTCAGAAACTTAATCAAATGATTTTAAGTAAGTCCTTTGGAATGGCTGCACACGTTTTGTAAAAGGTTCAAAGTTTTTTCTCTATGAATCAATAGGTGTCTTATTAGGTTAGGAAGATTCTCCATTACCCAAAGTTGGAAAAAATTATTATTATGATTAAGATTAACCAAGTTTTTATCTTAATTTTGTTAAGACCTAAGAATCTGGTCCCTCTTTAATTAAGACCTTCTAAATAGATTACTATAGTAATTAATTTCTATTTGTATCTCCAGATCCATATTTAGATACAAACATATTCACAATATCCTCTGACATTTATATATGATAAATTTATATTTTGAAATATTAATTCAATGATTATTATTACTCTTTTTAATTTAATTAAGAATTAATAACTATAAAAATATATATCAAAATATCAATTGTTTATGTAATATGGCTGGAAAATTTATAACATGAAACTAACTAAATTAGCATTCATAAGAAAGTATATATTCTAAATAAGATGTGTTGACTTATATAGTATATAAATGTTATAGTAATTTTAAATAAAGCTTGAATAAACTGATATAATTTCAATATTTGTATTATTCGTATTTATTATAATAATTTAATAAGAATCTGTCCAGTTAATTCTTTTAATCAATTAGTTAGAAGTATAACTAGATTAATGAATCTAAACAGAACTTATGAGATAAGGAATCAATTATTAATATACAAATTTAATATAAGCTAAACAATCTATTAAAATATTTATCACCATTTATAATTGTATATGACTCAAATTTAAACTTGATATAATCTGTAAAAATAATGACTATCCTATATTTTATAATGCTATTGTTATTTATTGATAAATACTAAATAATAAGAATGTAAATTTAAGCAAGATGTTGAAAGCATCTTATTTAAAAAGAATCAGTTAAATATATGATATGAATTTCTAATATGATAACTCTATGAATAAATAATTCATTTCTTTCATCATTCATTGTGTTTATTTTTTTCTATACTAATTAAGAATGTGTATTCTAGTTTATTTTAATATAGCCTCCATTTAAGAAATAATGGTCTTTAACTTTTAACATTGTTGAAGTTTAGCTACATCATTTTATGTTATTAGAGTATTAGATTTTTTTTAAGATTGAAAATCCGTTTCTGTGTCTGATTTTCTTATTTTTTTTGACTTTTTGAAGATGGATTTATTTTTCTTTTTTGGTGATTCCTCTATGATATTAAAGATTAAAACAGGTTCTTCTTGTAGATACCCATCGAAAGTATAATCCTTATTCAGTTCTAGATTAGAACTTTGATCATAATCACAAATTTGCTCTTCATTAACTTATATTTATTCTTGTTCTCTTAAATCTAGTCTTTGAATTATTTAATACCTTAAATAGCTAAATCTTCAAATTCAAGGGTATAGAAATTCATAAGTTTAAGATATTGTAAATAATAAATATTATTATTGTTAATATTAATAAATCTTAAATTAAATTACCCAAAATATTTCAGATATTGTTCATAATGAGTATTATAATTGTGTCATACTCATTTTAATTAAATGTTAATAATATATATAATTATCATAAGTAAATAAAACTATAGATTGATTATCTAAGTTTAAATTCTTTTATAATATAATTTCTTTAATAATAATTGTAAGATTGATAATATGTAAAATATCATATTTTGATGTTCTAAATATTTTTTTTTAGATTTCTATATTCAAGATGAATATAATAATTTTATATTGTATGTCATATAATAAGAAGTATGATATTTTTAAATAGAGAACAATTAAATAAATTGTTTTTCATTTTTGTATTATTCATACAATATATATAAATAATAATAGTCATTTTCTTTTATTGATTTCAGTTCCTAACACTTTTATTTAGTCTCTTAATTGTAAGTTTTCTACTAGTGTTTTCTATATTTTTAGTATAATAGATACCTCTAATATTTCTTGAATATTTATCTTTTTTTTAAGTTATTGTATCATTTTGACATCTTCCTTATCCAATTAATTTTATTCTGATAAAGATGGAATTTATTTTGTTATTTAATTTGCAATCTAATTAATATAGTTTGTTTTCTGTTCTAATTCATTTTATAATTGAGTAATTTTAGCAGACATAATGTCTTTTGTTTTTCTATTTTCCAATTCAAGTTCTTATACTCTTAAGGAAAGGGATTCTACAACAATTTTTTCTTTTTTTGTAAGAGGAGCTTCAGATGCTTTTTATCTAAATTGCAATTCTCTTAAAGCTTAAAGATCATTAATTAAAGATTTATTAGTTTCTTCTAGTATTAATATAGATTTTTGTTTTTAAAGACATTCATCTTTTAATTATTCTGTTTCCTAATATAATGATTATTGAATTACATGAAAGTATTTTTTTTATAAAATTTTAACTTAACTTTACATGTCTTCATAGTTGATTTATGAATCTTTATATTTTAATTCTAGATTAGAATATTCTTAGAATTAAGATTATAATAATTTTTCTAAGTCTTTTAATTTAATTATTTTTTAATCTCTTTCTTGTTTAACATTTGTTAATTCTAATAAGATTTTCTAATTTTAATTAGTAATTTCATCTAATTTTATTTATAACTATAATAAATTTGATGAAATACATTGTTTCTAAGTTATTCACTTTATTTCAATGTTTTTTTAGTTGTTTCTAGTTATTCTTCTTTATTTTCATAATTAGATTAAAGTTCATTAAATTTCTATCATTTAACATATATTTATATTACCTTCATAAGATCTTTGTTTTCTGAGATTTATAAATATGCAGATGCTAATTCACCTTCCAATCTAAATTTATCTTAGGCAATCACTCTCAATTCTTTTAATTCTTATGAAGTATTTTATAAATCATCTTTAAGTTATTGATTTAAAAGTTTATAAGTATTAAGTTCTGAAGTAATTTTAGAATTTTATTAACTGGTTTCATCAATGATTTATTATAAAACTGAACATTTTTAAACCATTCCTTCTAATGAGAGATTAGATTTCATTTATTTAGAATTTTATATTTTTAATTGTTCTTCTTATTAATTTTTTAATAATTAAATTTCATTAGATAAAGCTTTAATTTAATTTTATTAATCTTTTGATCTTTTATCCCATGTCAATAATTCTTTCATAGGAATAGTTACCATTTTTTCAGCATTATTATTATTATTTGTATTTTATTAATTATTTTATTATTATATTATTTATTTTTATTTTAATTCTTCTAATTAATTTGTAAGTTTTTAACAATTCTCATTTTTAAGTTGTAATTCTTATTACAATTATGTTAATTCTAAAAGTTAACTTTAATTACACTTTTATTATTCTTATAATTGAGTATTTAATATTAAAATATCATTTTACAATTATTTAATCATTTCTTCTTGAGTATTAAATTATTTAATGTATGATTATTCTTATTCTATAATATATTAATTTAATTCTTCAATTTTAGTATCAGATTTGTTATTTAATTCTTTTTCATATAATGTTTTATTTAAATCATCAATTTCATTTTATAATAATTTAACAGTCTATTCCCATTCATCATCTTTTGTTTATTTTGTTAATTCAATTTATTAATTCAATTATTAGATATTTAATTTATAATCATCAAGATTAGATTGAATTATTTTTTGAAGTTCATTAAGTTTTTGATTTAATAAATCGATTTCATTTTATTTACTATTTATAATAAGTAGATTTTCATCATTGATTTCATTATATTTCTCTTTTTCATTAATCAATTAATCAAGTAATGTTTTAATTTCAATTTCATGTCTACTCTAAATTTATTAGAGTTATTATAATGCTTCATCACATTGAATTGTGACTTTCTTTAGATCTTCATTAAGTAATGTAATCTATTATTCATAAGATTCTATTTATATCTATGATTTTTAAATTTATTCATCACAAGATTTTCTTTCTTTATGCAATTCAATTAGTTCAGCCTCATAATTTGCAATATTAGTTTTTTATCTTATGATTTCTTTTTCTAATACAATTTAATTGGTTTATAATTCATTTGTATTTTATATTAATGTATTTCTTTCTTCTTCTAATAATTTAATTGTTTGATCTTTTTAATTCAATTCTTCTTAATAATCCATTAGAATTTTTTTATTTTATTTTTATTTTTATTTAGTTTCTATAATGGAAGTAATTATTTCACCAGATGAATTTATGAATGTTAGAAATGGTAATCAAAACACATATAAGAAATTATGTCAATCATTTCTTAAAGTGAAAGATCCAAAAACATAATTAAAAGTTGCTTAATTTATATTGAAAACACCACCTGATGATCGAATGGATTTTGAAGTGGCTGTATTAGAATAAGCAACAAAAGAATTAGATTTCTTTAAGACTTTACGAGATCCCAAATAACACCAAAGATGTTGTAAAATGATGATGTATAAACATTACAATAAAAATGACATTGTATTTAAAGAAGGTTGTAATGAGTGATGTATGCAAAAAGGTGACTCATCGAATGAATTCTTCATCATTATAGATGGAAGTGTCAATGTTTATGTACGTAAGAAGTAAGAACGAATCCAAGCAGAAATTGAGTTAGAAGAAAACCAACTGAAAACTCTTACCGAGGAAGAATTAGAATAACATCCAAGCACTATCATTAAATTGTATTAGGCCCCCAAACAATTAAATAGAAGACAAACAATTAATCTAAAAGAAGATGATTTTGAGCAGTATAGACCAAATAAGAATTTAGGATAGCCAAATCGTATAAGCCACGTTAATTTCTATAAAATGATCGATAAGATGTTAAACATAAAGATGTTGAATTAATCAAAAAATTAACATCTGGCCTTGAAAAGATACCAGACAAAGATTTTCTTTTTTGTGGAGGAGTATTCCTACATGAATTAGTAGCCTAAATACATGAAGGTTAAATGTTCGGAGAAAGAGGATTGATGATTGAATCTGCTCGTACTGGAACAGTTATTGCCAAAACATCTTTACATGTAGCCATACTTACAAAAAAAGACTATAAAACTATATTAGAAGATAGTCAGTTAGGTATATTATACTAATAAATATAAAAGAGAAAATTAGAAAAAAGACAAAATTACTTAGTTTGACAATATTAAAGAATTTAACATATAAAGAAGCTGTAGAAAGTTAATATAAATTTGAAAAGGTTCATTATCCTATAAGTCATTATATATATAAAATTGGTGATGTTCCATAATCTTTAATTGTTATTAAGAAAGGCACTGTTAAATTATTTAAGAAAGAAAATAATAAAATATTTCCACTTTGTGAATTAGGATAAGATTAATATTTTGGTGAAGTGGAATATTTTGAAGATTGTAATAGAATACATATTGCTTAAGTAACATCATAAGAATTTTCAGCTTATATGATAACATATTAAGATTTAGCAAAATTATTTAATAATTATCCATAATGTGAAAGATTAGTAAGAAAATAATATGAATAAAGACATAAAATAAATGATTAAAGAATTAATAAAAATTTAAAAACTCATAAAAAGTTTAGTTATTCTGAAGAATTTTCAAAAGATCTTTAGAATTTTTAAAAGAATTAATCATAACCATAATTAGAAATAATTATACCTAATAATGATATACCTTAGAGTGATTTTAAGATAAAAGAAAAAGCAAAACAATATTCTATTTAAAAATCTAAATATTAATTATGTTAGATGGATTTTATTTAGACAACTTAAAAAAAATTAAAAGCAATAAGAAGAGTATAATAAAATGAATAAAAAAAGTAAGAGATAATTATATAATATTTTAGAGCTTAAATGGAAAATGAATAAAGTTTAGCAGATACTTTAAATCATTTAGAAGTTTAATCTTAATTAATTAAGAAAGAATTTAGAAGAAGAGAATAACGTAGATTTAGTTGTATTACTTTTGACAAAGAATCTCAAAATGGTATTAATTAATCTTAAATTAATTAATAACCATTCTCAAAAACATCATAAGGAACTAGACCTTAAACTTTTGATCGTTAAAGCAGTCTATCTCATTAATTCAAATATCAAAATATTACTGAATAAATGTTATTTAATGCTAAACTGCAATAATATGAGATTCTCGATGATTAATAAAGAGATATTAAAACACCTTCTGCATCAGGAATAATGATCTCTTCGAAACACAATCTCTTTAGAACAAAACCAAAGAAATTATTTTTAATGAATCATTATGAGAGAAGATAACCAAAAACATATAGCACTGAATTATCAATAAAAACATTTTTTAATTGAATTTAATATAATTATAATTAATAAAAATCTAAATATATTTAAATAGAATCATTAACATAAATCATTTTAATGTCTTTACACATAATTAAGTGTTTTCATAAAACTATCACTTGCATATAAAGTATCACGAGGTAATAAATAAATTAATTATTTTAAAGATTTCAATCTCAATTTTAAATTTAATGAAATTAAAATTGATAAAATTATTTGCAAAATAATTGTCAATGTAAAAATGAATATAAACCAGTTCATTTTTATATCAATTTAATCCTCTATATATTATTCTAAATTTTATTTTGATTTATTAATATAATTAGTGATTCCTTTTATAATAAAATTAATTGAGACAATATCCTCTGTTGTACTATAATCTAAACTATCTTAATAATTAAGTTCATAATTATTTCTATACTAAATAATATAAAATTATGTAGACTCTAATACACCATTCTACAATAATCCTTAATCTAATCTTTCACATAATTCAATATCAATCTAATCTAAAAAGATACTACATATATTAATAGATAAAGAGTCAATAACTTCAGCACTTCTAATACCTGTTGGAAGTCGAATGATTTTACTCAATTATTAAGTAGTAACAATAGAAGGTGATATATATTCATAATATTATTACAATTATGATTCAGAGATATATTTTTTTTAGATTAAATAATCTCTATTCTCTTACAAAATACTACTAATACATAATAAAGAAAACTATTCTTAAAATAATATACCTTGATTATATATAGTAATATCTTTTTATAAACCTGACATAACATTCTCTGTATCTAAATATGTTAATCCTAAATAGATTAATGTAATAGATAAACAAAATAAAGGATACAAAAAACTTAAAGCTCTTTTAATTGAAATCTCATCTGTAAAATTAAGAGATCGTTTTGTATTATTTTATGAACTATTAATAACTTTATAACTAGAAAAATGAGTTTGTCCTTCTTGATGTTATCGAAAATCAAAATTTGCAGTAAAGTCCATTCTATAATCATAAAGACATAATTTCTAAATTATAATATATATATATATACTTATTTATTAGTTAAGATTGTTGCACATATATTAATTTCTGATTCTAATGCATCAAATTAAACTTATTCACTACATCTAGTTATCTTTTTCATATATTTAAAATAATTATGATACACAATTAAAGAGATAAATGAAATAATAATACTTAAAACTATTAATATAATTATAAGTGCTTTTTATGAATTTGAAAAATTATCAATAGATAATTAAACAAATTCACTAAATTCTTTATTTATATTTTCATAGGCAGTTTTGTGATAAGGAAAGTCTAATAATAAATTTACATATGTAGGTAATTAATCTGTTTGATTTTAATTCTAATCTTATATAAAATCAAGTTGATTATATAGAATATAAAAAGCTGCATTCCAAGCACTTGTATCCTTTTCATATTCATGTTTTACTTAAGTGTCACTAAATACATTTTAGATTTATTAATTTAAAAAATAATTCTTTTAATAAATTAAATAATTTTTAGCATCTTTTATTAATAATCTTTATAAATGTTGATAATATTAATCTTATTAATTTAATTCTTTTTATTTATTATACATTAAGGATAATTAAATATTATCTGTGTAATCAGTAGTTATAAATGCTTATAAAATTTAAATAGTAGGAATTATTGATTCTGCTTAAGTTTTAAACTACAATTAATAAAGTAACAAAAATACTAAAATAATTCCTAGAATTAATGCATTTATTAAATGTATTACAAATATGATTTTTTCATGATCAGAATTAGAAAATTCTTAATATTACATACCTTTTGAAAGAAACTTTTAAACATCTAATTATTATTTTTATGATGTTGCAGATGCTATATGATTAGAAGATCCAGAATTATTATCATTATTAAATTATTCATTAGAATCAGATTTTCTTGCAACTCCTTTAAAATTAAAAAATTTAGATTTTCTTTCTTATTTTTTTTAAATGTTTATTTTATCATCAGATTATTCTTATTTTAATCCTTACATTTAATTTTAAGAAACTGTAATACATTATTCATTAATTTATGGAAATGAATATTTTTATAATTTTATAGATCCTTCACTACTTCTTTTCTCATTGTCTTAGATGTCATATAATGTATTAGTTCTTTGTGTATATTAAGATTATTTAACACTACTTTTCAAACTATTGGTTTAATTAGAATCATTATTTTCGGTGATATCAATTTATTAAACTTTATTAAACTCAATGACATAGTACTATTTAAAATATAATATAAATAAATAACAATACTTTTGAAACTTTTCCATTTATAATTCCATATGTTAATGTGATTGTCATATCAATAAAGAATTTATCCTATTCACTCATAATAAATAATTGATCTTCCAATTTTAATTTATAATGATTATAAATTGAATTTGTATCTTTCTATTAAACACAACCTTATTAACTAACTACTGATTAAGTCATTCCTCTATATCTACTTGTTTTAGTATCCATCATTTGATTTAATCTTTATGCATTTTCAGTAAAATCTCCATAAAATTCTGAAATCTCTTTATTACATATTTCACTTGGTGAATCTAAAAATAAAGATTGATAAGCTAATGAACTTATTCCTTATATTATTTCATAATCATCAACAATTATATGTCCCCTTATATTTTCAAAGACTCCAATAGGTTTAATTTCTTGCATAAAACAATAAACAGGAAATTCAGTACCAGTAATAACAAAACATAAATCAATAAACATTTCAACGAAAACAATTTCTTAATTGGTTTTTTCAGCTATAAGATAACGTTCCTTTCTTATAACATTAGGTCGATTACTCATTAGAAATAATTCAATAATAGTATTATGTACTGATGATATTAAAGGTGGTACTAATTCATGAACAGTAACTCTTTAACGTAGAAAATCATCTTTAGATTCAAAACCAAAAAATTTAAATGAATTTTCTGATCTTGCTAAGATTTCTCCTCTACATTTATGTTTTGAAAATCTTGATAAATTTACTTTAAGATAACATATATTTTATGGAGCATTAAAAATAATAGGGTATTCAAAAAACTTAATGTCTTTAGTTCTAAGATACTAAAAATATATATATATATAAAATACATTTTTATATTTCTAAAATTGTATGTAATCACAACGAACTTCTACATAATATAACATCATAAGTAAACAAGAAGTTCTACATTATGATTAATCATGAAATTCTTATAATTCATTTTATAATTTTAGAAAATAAGAATTTGATTCAATATAAAGTTATTAAACTTCTTCATATGATTATTTATTATTTCCTAATTTGATTAAATAACTCTTCTTTACATCCAAACATTACATTAATTTATGTATTAATAGACTTCTCTATAATTCAGTATTTCTATAATCTCCATATAAAATAGTTTTCTTTATAGATTTATCATTCAAATAAAATTAAGCTCTAAATAATGTTTAATATTTAGAATAACTTATTATTAGATTAGTAGTTATTTCATCAAATGGTTTTTTTTATTCTTATAATTATAATTTAACTTCCATAACTTATAACCATGCTTATAATGATTCTTCTGATTTACTTAAAAAACTAATTAATTAAGCAATATATGTTAAATTAGGTTATGTAACATAAATTTCTATATTCAAAATAAGTTTAATATAATATCTAATATATCTATCTATTAAATCTATAGAAATTGTTAAACCTTTACAAGTATAATCAGAGAATATTTTCATATCTTATTTTTATATATTTAAAGAGAGAGTTTGCTTTTTCTCTCCCCAAAATCCTCTACAAAAACAGTACAAATTATTACATAATTCAATATGAGTTTTTATTAATATAAAACATTGCATTAAAAACTTTGATTTATTAGGATTAAAAACATCAGTTGTTTAATAAACATGTTATTAATTAATACACAATAATTCATATAAACGTAAGAATTGTAGAAAATACTTATAATTTGTAAGTCTAATCATACTCACTTATTCTAATTTCTATAAACAAATTTGTCTTTCAATTTAATGAACATCATCATTAACAATAAGTGATTTTGTCATTGATTATGAATTTCTTTTTAAAATCTTTTATTTTGGTGGAATATTCTCTGGATGTAATGTATGAGTTATTATTTTCTTAAAATTAAAATCTGTCAATTAATTAAGCATTTTACACATACAAGGAGATATCATCATAGACAATGTTATTATATCATTTATATTTAATTAGATTAATTTTAAAAATGATAAACAAAAAGCCAATGAAAATGCTAAATGAAATACATAAATTTTATAAGGTTAAACAAATGGAATATTAAAAGATTAATCTTAAAGATCAAATATCAAATTTAATATTCCAAAACATGATAATACTTACTCAAATACTAAATTATTATAAATTGCTAATGGATCTACTATATAAAGTACACTAAAATATATTAAAGTTGGAATTATCCTTAACATCTAACCTATTTTAAATGAAGTAGTTATTCTCAATCTCAAATAATTAGTATCTTTAAGTCTATATGATTATTACATATATAATGATAATGTTTCTAATATTATAAGAAAAAGTAATTAAATTGAATTAAGAGTAAAGTTTAATATAAATAGTCCAATTGAATAATTTGTTTAATTATGAATTCTATAAAATATAATAGCAACCCAATAAATTTAAGGTAAAAACATTATATGTGTGAAATAATTAGTTAATATTGATGTTCTTAATAATTGTAATTCAATTAGTGATCCATTATCAGTTCCCATTAATTATTTCAATAGAAAATGTTCTGTAAAATCATTATTATTATATGTGCTATTCAATAGATTAAGAGATTCTATATAATAAGTTAATAATTATTACAAAAACTATTCCCATCTACTTTGTTAAATGTCCTCTTATTTTGAAATTTTATTTATTTAAAATGTATATACTCCAATCTTAATGCTACAACATTGATAAGTAACATTAAAAAGAGTGATGCCAAAAATATTAATTAGAAATATATAATTTGTTCTAAGGACAAATATTCTTATATCAAAATAGTAGGCATAGTTATTCTACATAACAATTCAACCTTATCCTAACTTGAAGATGGTTAATCAAATTCTATATTAGTATTAAGCATTCGAATAATATGTTTATATAGTAAAACTAGGGCAATTGTTTAAAACATTCTAATGAATTCACACACTGTCCAAAATAATTTGTTTTCCTATTCTAATGCTACTTACGTATGTCCAATCAAATATTATAATTGAAGTCTTTAATATTTCAAACATTTCTTAATAAATTTCATTTATAAATGGAAATTTATCTATATATTTTAAATAAAAATAGTATTTTTATTCATTGATTTTGATCGAAAATATTAACTGTGATTGTCAAAAATTTGGATATCTATACAGAACTTCAAATAATTATATAAATATTAGACACTATTTCATAAGTACTGCAATTATAATGACTATAATAGTTATAATAAAATTGAATTAATGTAACCAATTTATATCATAATTTATGTATATATACCCTTATTAATAATATTTATATAAGTATAACAAGAACAGATATAAAATATTTAAGATATTATTAGATGTTTATTCAATAATATAATTATACGTTAAATTAATAATCATATTTAGAAAGATTATTTTCTAATTTCTTGACTATATATGATTTGTATATTATTAAATTCAAATATATATATTTATAATTTAAGAGAACTAATTTTGCATATTATAAATTAAACTAATTTGATGGATGAATAATCTTACAGGTTTACTTAAATATCAAATAATAATTTTTTGAATAATCATAAAAATATATAACTTTTAAATTTCTTGAAAATCAAAATGATCTTAATAAAACAATATATTTTTGTGTCGAAAAAATAGAAATATGCCCAATTAAGAATATTTTAAGAAGCTAATAAATTCTTAAATTATCAATATATTAATTAAAGCTTAAATAATTCATAATATTTATTGAATTCTAATTAGATTAAATATTAATTTTTGAATCAATTTTTTAAAATAGTAATAGGTGAAGGAAATTATGATAATAGAAATTGATTATCCTTTTTAAAGTGAATAAAGATTTTATAGAATTTAATATCATAAATAAACGAGTAAAATATAAGAAGATTTATTATTAAACTTTGAATTGCTGAGTAGCAAATATCATTTTTAAGTAATGTTTGAAACATATATACTTTTTACAAATTTTATTACTTCTATATTGCCTTTTTAAAATTTTTCTTTTGGTATTTATTTGATTATGATAATATTTTGAAAAGTTAATTATAACCTTCCAAATTTTCTTATGATTTCTAAAGGAAATTGTAATTATTGAATAATATATTTAATGAACCATTTTTTGTATGGTTTTACATAAATAATTTGAGTAAATAGTATAAATAATAATTTATCTAATTTTACAAAATAATATAATGGAAGATTAAGAAAAAGAGAAAAGTAGAAAACCAATGACCTTAAGTTAAAGAATAAGAATGGAATTGTCTTAGTAATAGGAAGAAAGAAAACCTGTAGAGGGACCTTAGTTGATAAAGCATAAGCCATCTAGTTATGATGAGGAGACAGGATAATTGTATTCTTTCTATGCTAGTGCAGTAAATTAAACTTAGCAATTTTTTTCAAATATATTTGGAGGAACATATATACCATAGTATCAATTTAGTTTTAAACATAAATAAAATGTGATAAAATATGTGTTTGAAAAAAATAATGTTATTGCTGAATATGTAAGTAAGGAGATGAGAAAAAGTTAAAAGGATATGGATTTAAATGAATTGCTTTAATTATAAAATAGAATGATGTTAGTTGCTTAATTAGCAGATTGTAGAAATAGAATAGGAATAAATGCTTATTGTTGGGGTGCTTTGATGGGTAGTATATTTATGTTATTACCAATATCAATATGGAAGAAGGGAGCTATGTCAATGAGTGTATTTCATTTATTTGGAAGTTATGTAAGTTAAGCTAACATAGACAGAGTATTTGATAAGGTTTATTAATTTTATGTATATGATTTGGAGTAATATAAGAAGGAGAGAGAAAATATGACAGTGGGATAAATAAAGTAGAGTAAATTGGATAGAGATTTGGAGGATGTAATATATATGAATTTATATAATTTATTTAGAAAAGACTAAGAAAGTACTTGCGAGAAATTAGTAAATAATAATGAGTTTTAATTTTATTATATAATTATGGATATAATTAAAAACTGCTTTAAGAAATGTGTGTATGCTTTCAATAGTAGCAAATTTATCAATAATGAAGAGGAATGTATAAAAGAGTGCGTAGAGTAATACAAAAAAAGAATTAATTTAATCGAAGATGCAAAACAATAGAAATGAGTTATTTTATTTATTAAATGAGTAAAGACTTCATTCATCCTCCTTGCAAAAGATTCGGAAGAACTGTATTTGAGAATACTGGTTTCAATACAGTTCGTGCTCATCATAGTCTTCAAAAAGATGGTTGTACTAGAATGGAATCCTTAGTAAATGATAATATGTAAATAAAAATAGAAATTTTTGGCAAGGAAGAATTGTAAAATTGATGCTTCAATAATTTTGATGGGACCTAAGAAGCATAATATTTTGAGATTTAAACCTAATAAAAATCTCTGCATCAATGGTTGGGATTATGGCGAGAGTAATTTGAGTTAACAGAATTAGAGTAATATGAAACGAAGGAACCCAATAGAGATACTTTAATTGAGTAGATTCGTAATGGAGATGAGATAATGAAGAAATTAGAGGATTACGATGACAAGATGAGAGAAAAAAATTTATATAACTTTGGATATTAGGATAGATTTGTATAATTAATAAGTAATCAATTTAAATTACCTTAAAATAAAGAATAGAAGATATAAAAAGTAAAATGTTATTATTAAATAGATCTTAGCATTAAAAAAATAGATGAGAAAAATAAACAAATAAAATTAAGAAACACTTACTAAAATTAGTTAATAAGATATTGAAATTGTAGATTCTACTTCAAGAATGATGTCATCAACTAAAAGATCAAATTATTAACTACCTATTTATAGTGAAAATGATTCAATTATATAAAAATGCGATACTGAAAATAATTTGAAATCTCGTGAAACTGAATCTCCAAATTTAAAATCCATTACCGATTTCAAAAATAAAATATTTGGAAATTACATAAAAAGAGTTAGTAAATAAAATAGTCAACCTACTTTATTATCAACTTAAACTAGTTATCGGCAACATTGTAAACCTTTAAAAAATTTACTCTTATGTAGTGGAATTCAATTAGGAGAATCTAAAACTAATAATAATAGAGATAAAAGTTATTACACTAGGGCTGTATTTTTTCCAACTGAATCAAATATAGCAAAACATTGCTCTTTGTAATAATCATAATATTAATTTTGAATATTCAAATTATATTATCAAATTATGATGTATTAAATCTTTATATAGTCTTTTGTTTTAATCTAGGTTAACTTTAACTTTAAATCTTCTCTGTAGTCATAAATGATCCTTAATAATCTTATATCTCTTAATCCTAATTAAATTCAACTGTATGTTATTTTTACTATAAAAATCCTTATTTCTTTTATATCACATTATATTTTTGAATATTTTTAAAGAATTCATGATTCAAACACTCAGTAGCTGTAGGTCTTAATTTAGGATCTCTTGATAACATTCTTTAAACAAGATTCCTCAATAATTTATAATACATACTGTCAAATTAACAGGTAATTATTATAGAATTAAATAAGAGAAATCAATATTGCATTTTTTATTTAGTTCTAATACATAAGTAAATCCTTATCCTGGAAAAACATCTCTACCTGTAAGTAATTTGTAAAAGATTACTCCACAACTAAAAATGTCACAAATCTTATCATAAGTCTGATTACTATTTTATAAATTAATAACTTCTGGAGCTACAAAACCAGGAGTACCACATTTAGGATATCTAAATCTTTCTATTTGTTATTTTAATTAATTTACTTAAAGTACTATATGTAGCTAAACCTAAATCTACAATTTTCAATCTAACTTAACCACCTTTCATTTCTAAAATGATATTTTCAGGTTTAATATCTCTATGCATAATATTTTTAGAATGCATGAATTCTACTCCCTCCAATAAGGCCTCTCATATTTATTGATCATCATACATGCATTATTTATTTTGTTTATTCTAATGGGAAAGGTTTATGATTTCCCAGAAACAATTATAAAGTTTTACCTGATAATAGATCCATTACTATGTAATAACTTGTCTCACCTTAATAAACTTCTTTTACTTTAACAAATGCAGGATGCTATAATTAATTATTAATCTCAATTTCCTAAAAATGCATTTCTTCCTTAACTACACATTTTGAAGCATATTCTTCTCCACCTTCCCTCTCCCTTACCACTATTACTTTAGAAGAACTCCCACTTCCTAATATTTTCATTGGATAGAAAAAGTCTTGAACTTTTGAAAAAAACAATCTACCTGCTAAAATGTTTTTTAGTTTTTTTAATAAATCACCTTGATGACTTGTAAATTCATATCCATTTATTGAAAATCCAATCAATAAGTTTTTCACAACATACCATTTTATTAGATTTGGAAAACAAATCATAAAAGAAATAAACGGTTCATCCTATTTATATATATGCAAGTATTCTTTCTTTAAAATTAATCGATATGAATCCTATAATTTAATTTAAAGTATTGGATCATTATCTAGAAATTAGAGTTGAGTTTATAGAACCATCTAATATACTTTCTCAAGACATGGAAACATAATAAATAATTATTTAATAATTTTTAATTCAAATCATATTTTACATAGTCTCATACACAAATTCTTACATTTATAATGAAGCTTCAATTTTCATTTATCTTCCCATCGATTCAGGATGTTTATCTATTTTCAAAGCTATACTATCTATACTATTTAATTAATTATTAAATTCTTATCTCTCACATGAATAATATTAAGAAATCAATTCTGATATATTATTAAGATTATTATCTATCCAAATAAATTCATTAAAATTAGATCTAACATATCTTCTCTAATAAGATGTATATTATCTCCACTTAATATAAAATATCTCTATGAATTTTTTAACTCTTTCTCTCTTTAACCTTTCTTTTTTAGATTGAGAATAATGAGTATTAATATTGATCTCCATATAATCATTGATCAATTCCACAAAAAGATCATATCCTATAGGTGTATTTAATCTTAATTAATTAAGATTGTCAATTTGCTTTATTTTATAAAATGCATAAAATTCTTTAAGAACTCCTTATTTCAACATTTCATTACACCTTTTGTTTCATTTATTGAATACCTTTCATACATTATTTAACATATGTTCCCTTAAGATTCACTTAGAAAGAACCCTCTTACATCCAGAATATCACATAATTTATGTTCATCTTGTTTAAAAGGTGATTGAAATTCTCTACCTTTTGTAAGTAATGCAAATCGTATTGCTCTTATCAAACGATATTTATCTGTTATTGGTGGAGATTCATTATATTTTTAACAAAGTTACTTCAATAAATTTTATGGATCAGAACAATTCAGTAGTATTTCTTTAGCTTTTTGATCAGCTATTTTAATTTATTCTTCACTGAATTATTCCTATCTTGATTTCAATATTTAATTAATAAAGAAACAACATCCACCTTCAATAATGGGATTCTCCATATTTTGAAGGATATTTAAGACTTCTTTTTTAAATTGAAAAATAGTAATGAAATTGGTTAATCCATCGTACTTTCCTATCAATTCATAATTTTATAGATTCTCCTTAGGCCAATTGGTGGATATTGGCCAATTTTTATAAACCTTTTTAATGTTTTACGATGAACTACTTGCAAAGAATCTGCTGGAATAATTTTGGTTTTCATTTATTTGTTTAAAATTTGGACAACTTCTTATTTTTTTGATCCAGCTAAACCTGAGACTATTAATAATTTTTTCATAATTAAAATGCTTAAAAAACTTGTTAAATAGTTTCCTAGATTCTCATATAAATTTGGAGGAAATCAATAATTTGTTATGGAAGCAAATGATTTATAAGAGATAGAGAAATTAAGTGAAGATAGAATTATCTTTTTAAATTGTTATGCTTCTTGGTCTTCAGAATGTAAATAATTCAATAAAATATTAATGGGACATCTAAAATAATATGAAAGTGTAGGCACAATTCTAAATGTTGATATTGATAAGAATGAAACAATAAAATAATAATTGTAGATTCAATCTATACCATTTGTTGCTTTAGTTTATAAGAACTCTTTTATAGATATTTATTAGAAAAATTAAAATTTAGAAAATTTCATTATTTCAATAGATCGTCTATCTAGAGAAATAAAAGGAGAAGATTTAGGTGAATCAATCTTAATGTAATTAAGTTAACATTCTTTTAAAGAAAATGCCAAAGAATTAATTTAATTAAGTATTTAAAGTTAAGAAAATGAAAGATTAAAATAATATTATGATAAATTTAAGTTATATTAAGCTAAGGGTCATATATTATTAGGTTAATTTGATATGGTTGAGACTTTATTTAAGTAAATTCAAAAGAAATAAAAAGATGATGATTATAATCAATTATATTAAGAAATAATGGAATTCTATAAAATGATGAAGGATTGGCATGAACTACCTTTAATGATAAAAGAATAATTGTAAGAACTTGATAAGAGACCAGATGATTTGAATCTAAGATTTTAGATAAGTGAGAATGCCTTAAATGATAAGAGATATGATTTGGCTATAGATTTATTATTGGATGTATAATTGATTTAGAATGTAGTTAGTAAGGATTGATAGGAATTGGGAAGGGAGAAAAGCATAAAAGAGATTATAATAAATTTTTAGTGAATTGGGTTCATAAAATGAGAAAGTAATTAGGGGTCGTCATGAATTGGCATAGTTATTATATTGAATTTAAATTAATCAAACTCTTCCTCCTATTTCTAATTGATTTTCTTATAATTTTTTGGTAATAAAGTCTTATATTAATTGTTATCTCACTTGTAAACCTTAATACCAGAAATATCCTATTCCTGGGATGTAAATACAAAAAAAGATAACCATAAAACATATAACTGTGGCTTCAAAATTATTATGTATACCAGCCATACCTAAGAATTAATAATCACATTACACACTATCCAAATGAATATAATGACCATATATGTTAACATTATCAATCCAACAATGGCCAACCATTCTAATGGAGTAGTTTTTTACTCCTCTGATTCACCTTTACTTTATGGAACATCATCATAATATCCATTTTGTTATTACAAGAATCCTTATTACATAATTAAATTATTTAAGATTCCAT